CGTGAATGTGTCATCTAAGTCACGCAATAATAAAAACGTTTTGAAGTGTGATTTAAAATATGCGTTTCCTTAGGACATAAAGTTAAACCGTGTCATTGCATTAGAATAGTATCATACTTACATTATTATAAATTCTCGCTCGATACCAACAGATAGAACATCCTTTATATCATCATGCATCATGTAAACTGTGCTAAGGCGAACGCCTTTCCCTTCCCTACATTTATTCATAGAGAAATAACAAAAATAGCCATACTCAGCACGACCAGATTAAAATGAGCCGCTCGGCGTATCTCTCCCGTACGTTTCGGGCTCAAAGTAAGCGGACATGGGGGTCTCAATAGTTTGGTTGGCAAAAACGCGTAGGTTGTATAGGTTGAAAAATGGCCGCTCAGCCACAATAGTATGGAGACCGGCGAACCCGGAAATGTTTGCCATAGACAAGTTTAATGTTAAGATATTGTTAGTTTTTCTCCGTCTCCAGGAATGTTGTAAAACTGTTTTCTTCGTAACGAAGCTTTTTACGTTTTGCAGATAATTAAAAGACTACATTGTAGGAAGAAAGACAAAACACTGGTTGTAACAATAAAAAAAAAATAAGCTTCTTTAAATTTTTAAAAGACCTTACATAATTACTAAAATACTGTTCTTTATTCGAATTGAAGTAAGCATAAATGAAATTGAAGAAAAAAAGTTTGCCTTTCTTTTTTTGAATTTGGAATGTCGATTCGTGTTCCAACCGACTATTATAATAGAAGATAAATCAATATCACCAGCCGAGCAGCCTTTTTACTGTTGTCGCTGTACTGTGGGCTAATTATTTTTAAATCTGTTGCAATATAGCTCAAAATCGGTCACAGCGGCTCGGAAAGTCGAATCCCGTTTCTGTTATACACGATAGCCTTTTCTGGTGTGATTAGCATCGCCTAATAATGTTCTATACACAGTTTCCCTTGTTAGATTTTATTCAATTTTACCGTTTATTTGCGAATCCATAAAATTGACTTTCGTTTGACACGTAAATAAATACATTTCGCACGCAAACCATTACTTGATGTTCGGTTAGTATTTTAGTCCTTATTTTAAACAATTGCTTTTATTGAAGCTTTTAATTAATCACATCTTGTCAAAACGTATTCTTATTGTTTTTCAAATCATAATTATTGTTTGAATTAAGAACACTTGCTTCCTATTTCCAAAATTTATTTTCGGCCATGATAAATCATTAATTCAATTTTTTATTTACTAAAATATATATTTTTTTCTAAAAGGCATGGAACATATAAGAAGAAGAGTGGAAGAGATTGCTGTTTAGCAGTAAGGCCGCCTATTGTACTCTTTCTTCTGTTTCATTTGTTTATGTCTTGTGTCCTTTGTTGTGTGCAATAAAGAATATTTATTATTATTATTATTATATAAAGAATGGCGCAAAATCAAAGTTAAATTATTCATGCGAATATGATGTAGCGCAAACTTATTGGCATTTGTTTATTATTCAAATAATGACGTTAAAATCATAAGGACCAGACATCTTAATGACATAGCAGTAAATAATGAAAACTATTATGAAATAAATAGTCGTAAAAGTTAAATTGCCTCGAGCGCTATAATTGTGTATAATCTTAGGTATGAAGATTTAAATTCTATAGAAACCAACCAATAGGGATGGTTATGAAAAAAACTATAAGAATGTTAAAAATTTAGGCGCTTTAATGAAGTGAGTTTACCCCATCGAAATTTTATGGCTAAATGAAGTTTATTATCATGAATAGGTATCATTGAGAAAATTATTTATTTTATCATTTTCACAAGATGACTATGAAAGTTTTTTATGATTTTTGTAATAAAAGTCTTTGTATCTGCAACGATACGTTATGTGTATTGTTGAATGAAGATTAATTAAAGTACTTTTTGTTATTTATGTCATAATTTATTTACGTGTCAAACAAAAGTCTATTTTATGGCTTCGTAAATAAATGGTAAAATTTAATGTTTTCTATGTAAATTTTTTTTTTATTATTGTTAAGAAAATCTTCGTATCTACAACAATACTATAGTTATGTGTATTGTTGAATGAAGATTAAAAGTACTTTTTGTCATTTATGTCATAATTCATTTACGTGTCAAACATAAGTCTATTTTATGGCTTCGTAAATAAATGGTCAAATTTAATGTTTTTTATGAAAACTTTTTATGATTTTTGTTATGAAAGTCTTAGTATCTACAACAATACTATAGTAACGTGTATAGTTGAATGAAAGTTAATTAAAGTACTTTTTGTTATTTTTGGCAATTACAATAGCTTTGAAGACACTGCAATAGCAGAGCTTGTTGGTACAGACAAAAATGAAATTGTTAAAATTTACAATTAAATTATAGAACCGTAATATCAAACTACTCACTTTAATTCTGATCGTTTCAATATATGTGATCTGATTGATAGAAATGATTTACAAAATACACGCAGCCCTAAACATCATAAAGGGTTAAAATAACGCAATATTTTAGCCCACACTTTTATCTACAAAACCAACCTAATAAACCGAACTCAGTAATAAAATTTAGTGTCAATAAATAAAGCAATCGAACCGTTAGTGCCCGATTAGCTATACAAGGCACAAACCAGCAATATTTTCTATGCATTTCGCTGTGTCAAGCCTCGCACAAAACCATATATCTATCTCGAGGCATCTAGGAAATAATTCTACAATATCTCGTTGCAAACGCACTCATATTATACACACGCATTCTTCTCAGACATGCAAAATCACTAACACAAGCGAACCGCAGGACTATGGAGGAAAGATATCGACATAGCCAACCTCAGCCTAGTGTCTGTGTGTGCGTGCGCGGGTCATCGACCCAACATTTGCTCGCAGTACTACAGGCTAAAAGTATGCGTTCGGTTTTATTATGGTCTTATTTTAAAAATGGAACGGCGGTCATCGCTTTCTTTCGCGTTGGGTTAGGTCGCGCACGGATTTTGGCGCGAACTTTCGTTCCGGACGGGTTCTGTGACCGACGGGTTCTGCTGTGCAACCTTTTGGGTTACCGTTACGGACGCTGGGTTGTTCCAATTTCAAATTCCCGATTACGTTTTTTTTGCTTATCCTGTAACTTCCAAAAAGTTGGATTAACATAAGCGAGATGCGCTTGATCAGTAGCGCAGTGCTTAGTGTGTTCGACTTTCGAATATGGATAACTTTCGCAACGGCCGGTCATAGGATGGGTGGGCAAATTTATAAGTCTCAGGTCCACCGCGCTTTTAAGGACCGTCAAACTGTTAATCCCTGCTGCATCCGCAGTCGTTAGTATCCACCACCAATCCGCGCTGGACTCTTGTCGTAGGTCATGGTCCATTCACTCACTTCGTTCGTATGGAAGGTCTATGACCCTGCAGAGAGGAGATATTGATACGCTGATGATGATGATGAACCACTTAAGTCTTTAGTATAATACATCCCGGCTTTCTTGAGTAACGACCATTGACAAGGAAGCCTTCACAGGAGCAATTTTTTATCCTTGTTTTATCTTACATTTGTCTTTATTGCGCCCCCCTCATATTAGATTTTTTCTCACGCTCTTACTGGTCGACTGTTAGAGAATACCTTATGGCATTATGCCCGCCATTTGCTTTGTTATTTTGCAATAAAGTTTAAATAAAAAAAAAACATACAAAAAGTCATCCTCGCAAGTTTCTTTGTCTATGGTTTTCCTCCAGCAGTTTACACACTTTTGTTAACTTCCGGGTACAAATCTACCTTTTTAATTTAAATACTCCTCTCAAACCAAAGGATACAAACCAAAGGAATTCGAAAAATCCTACGTTAGAATATTTCCCGACTGGTTTGGCCAGATGTCCCTGTTTGATACAGCAATTTAACTGGACCGAGCAAAATCACTATTATTGCTCAGTAATGACTAAATTAAAGTTAATTGAGATAAAACATTGCCGAGCTGTGTGGATAGTTTGCGTAAATTTTATGTTATTTAACACAAAGAACACAAAAGGGTTTGGTATGATAAAAGTACTCGCATTATTCTGTGGTGGTAAAACTAATGTTGCTACCATAGTGGAGAATTTTAATACACGCTATTCCTACTATTCTAGCCAGTTCTTACATAAAAAAGCTACTAAAATTATTAATGGTTTTGGAATTTGTAATTAAAGAATGCTTTCTAGGATAAAGCGCATATTTATTAGGTACTTTACATTTCAAAATGGTATAGAAAGAAGTGTCATTGGAGTTAACAGAAGAGATAAAGTTAAATTAACAGAAATGAAAAACAGAACTCAATTTAAACTGGCACATTCTGTATATCGAATAGTAAAATGGCGATGGACCGGATATATGTTGAGAGAAAGGCTAGAGAAATGGACCAGAATTATAACAGAGTGGTATCCAAGAGACGGTAAAAGAAACAAAGGTGGGCAAACAAAAAGATGGGAAGATGATTTAAAAAAAGTGGCTGGTCCAGAATGGATCAGAGTTGCAAAAGATAAAGGAACATGGAAATTTTTGGTGGAGGCCTATGTCGAAAGACAAGCTGTTTCTAAAAGTAATGACCCGAAAGCTGATAATTTAGAATTATAAAAAAAACATGTTAATTAGATTCAGAAAATGTTTTATAGTTTAACAGCAATAAAGGCTAATTTTATTTTATTTATTTACATTCCAAAAATTTGAATTTGAATATAGAACACTCAGAACATTTTTTTTTTCAAACTCGTTACCGTAACTAGAATCGCTTCAACATGGTATAACATTTTAATTAAGTAAGCGAATTTACATTAGCGTTCCATTTTACGTGGTCACTTCATACCACAAAAAACATTTATCAGTCACATAATCTCTCTTCGCATCTGAAGTCCACTAACACGAAACATAACAGGGAGCTATTTAAATAAAATAAAAATAATTTATTTTATTTTTAAACTTTTTTACTAGGGACATTAATAAGCTGATAACGATGATTTCAACCAATTCTCTTCTTTCCAGGCGAGCGCCCATACAAATGCCATTTACCAGACTGTGGCAGAGCCTTCATACAGCTCTCCAACCTTCAGCAACATCTCAGGAACCACGATGCTCAGGTGGAAAGGGCCAAAAACCGCCCTTTCCATTGTAACATCTGTGGCAAGGGATTCGCCACAGAAAGTAGTTTGAGAACGCACACGGCAAAGGTTAGTATCTGATTGAAAATGTTAATAAAACGATTTTGTAAAAATAAATAAATTTCACTATAACAAAAAATTACTTATTAAAAAGGCAGGAATCGGATATTTGTAACCTTTACAGTCCTAAAGACTGTTCTGCTTATTTAGCTGCAGATTAATATGATGTTAACTTCCTAGTGAAATTTCTTTATAATTTTTCAATTAAAAAACTGGTATTCATATTCATAGCTTCTGAATATAAATATTTTTTAAAAAACTATTTTAATTAAGAAAGTTGCTAAATTAAAAAAAAAATAATGTTCAAATTCTAAAGAATTTTAGTCTGCTAAATACATAGGTAATAAATACTTTTTTCTATCACGTTTTGTGTGGAAGTATTGGCAAGTAAGAGTTACATGAACACTTTTAATTTTCTCAAAATAAATCTCAAAAAGAACAACTTTTGGCAAATTATTGTTTATGTTCAAAATTCCATACCTGGCCGTTACGATATTTATTTTAAAAGCGTTTACAAAATTCCTGTTTCGAATATTCGATTATGATTTTCAAAATTCCCTTTAGGCTGTTTGTCTTTTGATTTTTTGTTTTTAATGTGTTTTTTTTTTATGAATGTAACCTAATCTTTGAATGCTATGCCCGCATCGCCACCTCTCCGGTGGACCAGGAGCTTCAGCTGCACCTTGGTGTTTTGCAGCAACACGCCGCTCTAATGATCGGTGGCGCCACCGCCACGCCATGCCCCATATGCCACAAAGTAGTGTTCGGTGGCGAAGCACTCGTAGAACACATGAAGAATACCCACAAGGACCCAAATGCGTCCGGCGTTGCCAGTAAGTTTCGAATTCGGACTGGCCATTTACACTGCACACCAAGAAAAAAAGAAAAAAGAACGGCGTCTATGGATCTCTTTCTTTTTTTAAAACAATACGACAAGGATGTTCTAGATTTAAGTAGTGTAAGCATCCTCCTTTGCGGCGAGCGTGGGCAATTCAGATTGTGTTCTAAATATAAATGGTAGCGTTCGATTCGTTTTAAAATAACGCTGCCGCAGATGAGATTTATTAGTTTATAAGATCCGCCACTGGAAGTTTGCACTCACCTACTACTTACTATATACATAAGAAATTTGCGTCTCTATAAAATAACTGTAATAGTGAAACAACAAAACATTTTGCAATCAAACATTTTGCGATGCGAAAGCTTCCAGCTGGCACAAAGCCATGAGGGGTGTTGGTTCCTTAAAATCCAACGGTAAAACAAAAACGTATCGTTTCCATAAAATATAGCTAACTTAATAAATAAGGTTGGTCTGAACGCCATCCGGAGTAACTAGTATGTTATTGTTACCGGATTATTGGAAGGGTAAAGTGTTTTGTAAACACCACATCGCTTGCTGAGATATAGACAAGACAGATTCTTGGGATGGCGTTCCGACTCTATTATGATAACATGTTTTGTTTACGTATCTAATGGCGACATTTTCCATCGTTTTCGTCAACCTAGTTCTGTTGCCGTTTTGTGTTCCGTTAATTGGTTTACATTTTGGTTTTCAATTATTAAGTTGGTAGTTTAAGAAGAACGGCCCTTTTGCTGTCAGTAAATAGCCTTGCGTTATTTACACCATAACCTCCCCTATTATCATCACTTACGAACAAACTAAATCGAAAGCTTCTTCAACTTCTCAACCTGTGCAAAGCTCAAGGGTCGTTTCGCTCATATCACTAACACATTGACTAACCTTGTTTTTTTTTCTCTCTCTCCCCTAACCACTAACCTTCCACCTTCCTGGTGATGATGGCGTAGCCCCGCCCGCCACTTCACCGTACCCGGCGCAAGCTAAACCTATTGATCCTTATATAGCCAAGCGGAGGACGGCCAATCACCCTTGTCCTGTTTGCGGGAAGCATTACGTCAACGAGGGGTCCCTGAGGAAGCACCTGGCCTGCCATCCAGAGACACAGCTGACCAGCGGCTTGAGGATGTGGCCTTGCTCCGTCTGCCAAGCGGTCTTCACCCACGAGAGCGGTTAGTTACGAGATTTTTGCTTGTTTAAGACAATTTGTACCGAGAGGAGTACTTCACAAAATATTTTATGATAACAAGAAGAAGACTTCAATTTGAAAAATTACACTCTTTGAACATTCCAAATCAATTCTTGCAACACATGAACAAATTAAATATATCAAAAGATTACTTTTAAACCATACAACTGTATTCCAGGTCTACTCTCTCATATGGAGCATATGAGAATGGAGCCGAAACATCAGTTCGCCGCGCAATACGTCTTATCACGAGCAGCAGCTGAAAGACGAGAAAGAGACATCCTAGCGGCTGTCTCGGCCTCCGCCGGTGGTTCGGGACTTTTGAACCTGGCGCCCCCTTCGCCGGCTCACTCCGACTCCTCCTCGAACGGCAGACTGTCATCTTCGGCTGGCTCCGAAGCTGGCGCCGCTGTTAATAAGCTGTCAGATTTACTCCGGTCAGCGAACAACGGCCACCAAGCGTACGGAGACGAAAGAGTAGCGGCTATCGCAGCGGCCGCGGCCAATATGATGGCACAACCTGGAGAAGGGGCCAATGCCGTCCAAGTCGCCGCAGCGAACCTGGTGTCAGCGATGAGACAGCAATTGGCTAGAGAACCACCGCCAACGCAACCGCCAGCGGAAACTCCTCCGGCGCCAACTGAAGCGGCGCTCAGAATCCAGCAAGCTGAGGCGCTTCTCAGGAGTCAGGCTGAGGCTTTAAGACTGGCGGTGTCGCAAGCCGCAGCCGCCCACAACCCAGAATCTGTAAGCCCTTTGAGACACAACGGCGGGTTCCCACCGCCGCCCCCCAACGACGCGAGCGGGCAACTATCCCCTGAACTAGTGGAGGCATTCAGAATCGCACAAGAGCAGAGGCTGGAGCAAGCGCTGAGATTGCACGACCCGAGAATGCTCGGGTTCAATCTGCCATCGCCGGTGCAACAGGCGGCGCAACAAGCAGCGCAGCAGGCGGTAGCAGCGCAGCAAGCAGCAGCACAGCAAGCGGCGCAGCAGGCAGCGCAGCAAGTAGCACAGCAGGCAGCGCACGCAGCACAAGCAGCGCAGCAAGCGGCGCAGCAAGCAGTAGCAGCGCAGCACGCGGCGCAACAGCAACACATGCAGCAGCAAGCAGCGCAAGCGGCACAGGCGGCACAACAGGCTGCACAACAAGCTGTACACCTCCAGCAAAACCCTCAGCCATGAAAATTTAGCTATTACTAATCCGACGCGATTTCGTCAAATAGCAACCAATAAGGAAATCCATTATTATATTTCGTATTGTAGAGAAATAAAAAATAAAACGCAATTATATTTTACCGCAAAACGCAAACTTTCGATACGGAGAGTGAATGAAATCGCCTCTGGTTAGTAATGTACACGCCATGTTTTTCTTTTTGTAATATTACGACAACATCCAGGACCTAGTTTCGGACATTGTAGAATTTTGCAATTTTGTGTTATTGAACCGGAAAATATGGTATAAAAAAATGATGAATTAGTTATGATAAAACTAATAATCTTAGATAGAACTAACAATTGTAAATAAATGAGGCTTTAGTTGGAAATGTTTCTCGTGTAAATATAAACGGAGAAAAAGTTATTTGATTATTATCAATATTTAAATAAAATGATCAAAATGGAACAAGAACTCGCCCGAACAAGTAATTAGTCGTAGAAAACATTATGACAAATAATAATGTTATAATAATATAATTGTGCAATCTTCATTAATTATTTGTTTGGTTATTAACTGAGTGTGTTAATTATTATTATCAAATGAATTATTTATTTTTTATTAGCTTTACCATGGAGTGTATTTCTTAGCTTAGTACAAAATTTTTGGATGTGCCAAACTGATTTTAAGCACTTTTTTAATCGCATTTAGCGGAACTATGCAATCGCGTTGCCTATTATGTTTCCAAATAGAATATCGTAGAGCCTTATATTTAATTAATTATAATTTAACTATTCTTGCAATAACACGTCTTATGCTAGTCACAATTGAACGCACAAATATATATTCTTTATTTGAAAATTTCATATTGAAACATATTTTTTTTCTATTTTGTTTTCATTTTTAAATTGAAATTTTGCTAACCTTCTTGGCGTATGTTTATTATGTTTTAATTTTTATTTTACAATAATTGCCATATTAGTTATAGTATACTCTGTGTAAATACGTAGGCAAGTTACGTAAAGTTGACTCTTTTATTCATACGAAAAATAGTTTATTTTTTTATTAAAAATCTATTTTTTATTTTATCGACAAATAATTATTTACAAAATAATTTGTATAGTTGTATATAAAATTATTGATTATTATTTTTTATTTTTCCAGAAGACTGCAGTTACTTATCCGTTTATTATGTAAATAAAAATTATGATTTTCTCGTCTTGGTTTTGAAATTGTATGCGATTAATTATAAAAAGAAATAGCGATTTTTCACTCCACCAATGAACTTTCTATGTATAAATAAAAGAACAGGACAATACTATACACAATACACTATTAAAGACTACGTCGAAGACACAGAGATCGTATATTTACTTCGAAAACCGACATCGAACTTCGACATACCTTAAAATAAAATAGACAAATACAATGAACACGAGACATTCTTTCAACACCACGGATGTTGACAAATAGCCCAAATATTTTTACACTTATCATTTATTTTATATATGTACACTCTTTTAAATGAACCACAATAGCCCAGTGAATCATTTTAAATGGTTAAATAAAAGCGATTTGCTTATATGAAACCACAGATATAACAACATTAATAGGCATCTAGGATGCATAAATACAGTTGCCATTGCAATAGGTTTATAGTTCAAAAAACAATTGCAAAACGGTTCACGGAATTTTACAAAATCGTTGAGCCGTTTTGCAATTATCATATTAAGAATGTCAAGTGTTGCGGAATATTAATTCTTTTTAATATTATCATCGTGTATTATATAATAAGTGGCAATTCTTGTGGACAGAACGATATTTCTTATTATGGTAATGTCCACGGAAATTGTAATATTATTCGTATAATCGTAACATAGGTAAGGTATAGTAAGCTGATTTTAATGTACGTAATTATTTCATTCTTGAATTACTGATATTGGTACTGTCGCGTCACAGCAATGATTACACGTATTCATGCAACTTCGTGTAAATTTTTCTGTCGCGATGTATCAATGTATATAGGAAAAAAACACAATGCAATAGCCCAAAAGTTCGTTATATTTTTGTCGTGAGATTTGGTTGATGATGAGAGTTTTCATTGTGCATTATGTTAATGTGTGTATTTTATTTTTGAGATACAAAACTTTTCGGCCATTTTTTCATATAATTTCTGGTGTGAAACGGTTTGAACCATCAAAATGCTGAGGCTACCCCGATAAAGATTATGTTTTCTAGGAAACGTGAATCTCTAATTAGACTAAAACATTTTCGACTGACAAAAACAAACATTTTGGACAAATACAATATTGATAAAACAAAAGTGAACGGATCGCTATTTATGTAAAAAAATACCCTCATAAATTTAATATATAAATAAATTTAATGTAACAACAAAAGAAGTTCCTATGAATATTGTATAAATGGTATTGTTTTAAATTTAGATCTTAGTAGAAGGAAAATTTATGGACGTTTGGTATTTTTAAAGTTGTAATTAATAAAATCATCGTATTAGGGAACTAAACTCGTGCGTAATCGAGTTGTACAAAACAAAAAAGCACGGATCGTGAATCCTAACAATATTAGATTTTTAGATCAAAAGTTACGTTTCCAAGAAAGTGTTCAAGCGGTATAATAAATGCTCACATTTTTGTGTGGCAACAGTTTAATGTAAAAAAATAAAATATTTGTAAGAGGAAGTGAAATAAATTTAATGTTGTATTTTCGAAGGTTAAAATTTAAATGTAAGCTTTCGAATTGTTGTAACTGAAAATTGAAATAAAGGAATACTCAGATAAATAGTTATAAACCGCTGACTTGCCACATAAAAGTATGAGATCAATTGTATTTTCTGTGATCATCGAAAAGGAATAGTTAAATAAATCAGAATGTGTCTGTGAGTTGACAGAGGTTACTTTAAGTTTTTGATGGAGAAATTTTTTAAAATGTTACATGATAAAAAAATATGAAGGAAGTGAATTTTTTCTACATTTATTTTATGAAAAAACAAATTCCGTAGATAAGATGTGTACATTTAATACTAATTGTAATGCCTAACTAACAGTAATGAGATGACGGCGATCATCAGACGAATAGAATTGAAGAAAATTGCTATCGACAAAAACCTAATAAAATCGGGTGCCAATTTTCTTCAATCTTGCTCTTAGTATCAATAGTACTGGTTTTGTTTTGATGTCTTCACAAAATAATTTTGTGGGATTATTAGCTGTTCCACTGAATTCTTAATAGAAATGCGCTTTTGGTACGATTTTCATATAGAAATGGACGTTGCGCTCACAATGTTGTAGTTTAATTGGCTATTTGATAATTTCGTTGATATTTTTTGTTGATAGGAGAATACGTTGAGAAGTTTTGCAGTCGCTGTTACTCGGCCTGCTTAGATTTAAATTGAAAAGCAGACGACCAAACGGTGGTGGAGACTTTATAATTACCGATTCGAATAAAAATACGATTGCAATAACACCGTGCAATTACATTACATTTTTTATTTCACGTTATTAAGGACGCCGTGAATTGGAAAGCAGTTACAATTGCAATATGTGTAGCTCCACAAAAATTGTAATTATTGCGACACAATAATTGCAAAGTCGCATTTTATTGCAAATTCCCACACTTATCTCTCCGCTACACAATTCGCGTGCGTCCGTTGTTGAGTTTTTATGAAATAACTTGCTGTTGATTTGAATTAAACATCCTTATTGATTGTTGAATGTTTCGTTCGAAGGCTTCATGGCTTACGTTGTTTGTATGTATTTCAGCTTGTTTCGTTCTATATAGGTAAATATACATTATTATACGTATATTAAGTGTAGACAGGATAGCCAGGTTTTCAATTATACCACACATAGTAGTTATTATACCGTATCTTATAATAAATAAGCGTAATTAATGTAATGTAATTCAAGAGGAGCACATTCATGAATCAATTTGATACTTGGTTAATAGAATGTTTTGTGAATGGACTCCTCGGTGCCATGTATTAAGCACACATTAATGTACTTGGTATGTGTCGCGATGTAGTGAACAACGAAAAAAAACTCAGATAAATACAAAAAAATCCGTGTACCTTATTCGTACTTACATGTCATAGGTAATCAGATATATATATTTAATATATCAGTGTTTTAAGGGAAAACTCACGTCCCTTATATCGAGTGCCGTGTCCATTTCGTGTGAAAATGCTTTCGAATAATATGATAATCTTTACGAAAATACAGAACAATAAGTGTTATATGATTTATATACTATCAAAGAAAAAAAACAGAAAGTTAACAGTACTCTTAATAACTTTCTGACTTTCTAAATCAGGATGTTGGAATTGTTGAACTAAACAATGTTTTGAGTAAATTACAAAATTTGCCAAGAGCGCATTTGAATTCGTTTTCGTGCAATGTTGTAAACACCTCTTAATGTCACATGGGGCATTTTCGCTTATTAATAAACTGTTTATTTAAAAACAAATTGTACCCTATTTTGTTTTACAAAAAAAAACAACCCTTTTGTATTGACACTGTATTTTTCTTAATTTATTAAATTGGTGTATTTCTAGTCTTATTTACGTAATTCTTTAAAATCAGAATCTTCGTTGAAGGAATACAATAAAAAAACAAAATGTAAATTTTCGGTAATTGTACGGTATAAAAGAAAAGTTACAATTTTGTTATCCACGCATAACGTTTGGATATATGAAAATAAAATTTGTAGATATTGAAAAAAAAAACTTTTTGGAAACACAGTTTTGTAAAAAAAATATTAGAAAAGAAATAATGGTGTACCTATTTCGGCGTATCAAAATTATTGTAAAATTCAATAATGGTTAGATGACTAGTATTAAAAAAAATAATGATTAGCTAGAAAGTCAAAATTCATGTTTGGCAAATGTATTACATTTAAAAAAAAAGTGTAAACAAATTTATTGTACATAAATTAGGGATGTGATGTGATTATAACGTACCTAATCGATGTTTAGGCGGAAAACATTAATAATTATGGAATATCTGAATTATTA